GAAATGAGCTCAGACAGTAACAGGGAGTCTGATCATATAGGACCTTGTAAAAGCCCATGGTAAGGACTCTGGCTTTTATTTGGAGAGAAAGAGGGCAGCCACTGGGGGGATTTGATCAGAAGAGTAACTTAATCTATTTACGTTTTAACAGAATCACTCTGGTTAGTGTATGGAGAATAAATGATGGTGAAGCAAGAGCAGAACCCGAGAAACCCATTAGCCAGGAAGTTACTACAAAAGCAGTGATGCTGGCATGAACCAGGAGAGGAGAAGAGAAGTGGCTGGATTCTGTGTTTACTTTGCAAGTGAAGCAAACAGAATTTGCTGATGTGTTGAATGTAGGCTATAAGAGAAAGAGAGGAGTCAAGTATGACTGTATGGCTTCTGACCTGAGATGCTGGAAGGATCAAGTTGCCACCATCTGATGTGGGAATGACTGAGAATGGAACTGTTGGGCTTAATCATCCTCATCATAAACCTGAGATATAGGTAATGTTATTTGCATTTTACAGATTAAAAAAAACTGTTGCTTATATAGTAAAGTGACTTATCCAAAGTCACACACCTTTCAGCAGCACAGCTAGGATATAAGTCCTGGTCTATCCGACCCTAAAGTGTAAGCACGTAAACACTGCATGTTGCTGCTTTCCAAAGGGAAAGGCAGGAGCATCCAAGTTTTCCCATAAGTGGCCATGTGACCGGAACCCCATACAAGAGTAGATATATGAATAATTTATGGATAATTGTGCTAAATGGAGAGGGGTTTCTAATACTGGCCATGATGTGAATCAAGTGCCTAAAGAGACAGGACCCACTCTTGTCTATCCTTTGGTCGGTGGACCTCTATGGTGCCCAGTTTCATAATGCAGCAATCATGATTATATAGTCATAATCAGTTTCAATTATAATAACCAACGGGTCTCCACATGCTGGCCCAACACCTGGCAGCTATTATTACATGGCTGGGTCCCATTAGGACTATCTAGGATGCCTTTTAAAAATACAGACTCCAAGACCCTCTCCTCACCTACAGAAACAGAATCTCCCAGGATAGATTCAGAAATCTGTATTTTTACAGTTGATTCTTCTGCAGTCATACAGGCGCCTGTTGGCTGAATGGTGCTTGAGACCTTCTGAGTTAAGCAAGAGCAGTAGAAGACAGGTGGGTGGACTCTACTGGCTTACTAGGTTGGATGTGCTCACTAAGGTGAAAAAGCATCACTTCTCAAAATCTGGCCCCTGACAGTAGCAACAGTATCACCGGGAGATGGTTAGAAATGCAGGATCTCAAACCTCACTCCAGACCTACTATTTCTGAACTTGTGTTTTAACAAGATGCCCAGCTATTTTGTAGACATAGTGCAGCTTGAAAAACACTGAAAAATACTTAGCAACAAGCCCTAAGTAGGGGTCAGGTGAGATACGATGGCTCACTGGCCGTTTGCTGGACAGCTGACAATTATGAACCACTCAGCTGGTACTAGACTGGGTGCTTTACCTACATTATCTCACTCACGCCCCACAACAACCCTACAAGGTGGGTATTATAATCTCCACTTTATGGGTGAAAAAACCAAGGCTCAGAGAGCTACAGTAATTCATCAAAGACCGTTCAGTTTTTCAGAAGCAGAGCTGGGATTTGAACCCAAGTTTGTGTCTAAAGCACATGCTCATGCCACTGTACCATATTGCTGAAAACAAAGAATAAACCAAAGGCTCAGCCAAATCTAGGAAAACTCATATGGGCAATCGGCTGAGAAATGGAGTTCTCTGTCCAAGAATGTCTACAGTGGGATTCAGAACAACATGTCATTGAATCAGGGTTGTTTGCTGGAGCTTAATCACATTAGATACCTGCCATTACATTTCTATAAAACAGCAGGCCCGGCTACTCTCTATTGCACACATAGTGTGGCATCTGGCATCTGACTGGCTCCTGGGATGGCGCAGGCTGTGTTCTGCATTAGGTGGGAGGCACCCTGTGCTATCTGCCGCAGTCACGATCCTGTAATGAGTGAATTATTCCCTTGGAGTAAACTGTTCACCCATGTGCAGTAAACAGAACCAGAACAGCTGCTCCAGGGCAAGGAACAGTGCTATTCACGTTCGGATTCTCTAGAATTTTTCAGGTAGCAATAATCATCATAGCAAACTCTCGGAGAGTGCCTGAGAGTCTGAAAAGAGCATTGACAGGTGTTGTTTTATTTGCCTCTTAAAGAAGTCCCAAGAGTTAGATAATTTACTGGAAAACAGGTTCAGAAGATTGATGACTTCTCCAAGACCACACAGCTAGCACAAGGCCAAGCACCTACTCAAACCCAAGTCTTCTCATTTTAAACCTTTTGTTGTCAGCCTAAGACAGTGAGTGTGAAAGGGTTGAGGAGTTGGGCCAAGACCTACAGGGATCAGGGAGGATTTTCCATATGGACATACTAGAAGTTGTTTCTCAGTGAGGGAAATGTGTGATGGCTGATCCAGAATCTAGACATAACTTTTTGAAGAAAGACAAGCCTTTGCTCTCCAGTGGCCAGGGGACATCCATGTCCTTCCCATTTCCTGAGGTCTTCACAATGAGTTAGTCCAAATTAACAGAAATGAGGGTTGATAACAAGGTTGGTTCACTAACTTCCTACCCAAACTCAGGAGGCTCCTCAGAGTTACTTGCTGGACAAAAATCTCTTTGTTACGTGTGAAACTAAGTCCCTCACACCCAGCTCCTTTCTGGCTTTCCCAGTACACGTGTGAAGCAGTGAACATCACCCTCCCACCAGAGTGCTTCGCCCCACACTGTCCAGCTCTTCAGGCCAGCCGCACCTCACTGCATGACTGCGCTGCTTCAGGGGAGCCTGTGCACTCTGCTGCTCCTCTGCAGGTAGGTCACCCTCGGAAGATCTTTTCAGAGTGAATGCCACGTGTCGTTAGTGGTGGGGGTTACAGTCCACCACGTACAAAGGGGCCTCGAACGTGGGTTTGTTCACGCCATTGGTACAGGATTTTGGAAGTGGGGAAGAATTTCACCTGACTCCTGGCATTGGAAAACTTCACTGCTGGGGACAGTGGCAGGTCACCAGCCAACTGGGACAGTCACTGACTGGGTAATTGGGAAAGTTATACCCTCAGACTTGGAGGTTGTAGAGCAGTGGATCTGCAGTGAAAAGGCATCTAAAGAAGATAAGAATGCGCAAAGCATGAGCATTTTTACCAACTTGGAAGTCTTTTCGAGCCTTCAGGAGGAGCGGTTATAATAGACTGTCCTGGAGACGGAGAGTCAGGGCATCCTGAGGGACTGTGATACAGCTAACAGGGCAGCTGACTCCCTTGGAAACAGGGAAAGCACATCCAGAAGGGAAAATGGAACAGGCCCCCTCTATGGTTTTATTAGAACAATAGCAGTCAGCCCCTCTAGGTGTGCAGCAGTTACTGTCCGGCATGCCTGACAGGGGCCTGAGGGAAACAGCAGCAGCAGCACGTAAGTTCATGCACAAAACTAGAATTAGACTGTCCCGGGGGAGCTATCCTAAGTGTCCAAGCCAGAGAAGTCTCTGGAGGGTTGGATGATCAGTTTGCATGAAGACGTGTGCCGTCGGTTTCACTGAATGAAGCTGAATGGCCTGCCAGGGAGCATCTCTCACAAACTCTACTGCAAAATAAGTCATCTTGGTTGACTAAGAATAATAAAGCTTTTCTGACTTGAACTGGGTACTTCATGGAATTAGTCCATCAAGGAGATTTCCCAGAATCAGTGGAACTGGAGGACACAGGCCTTAGCCCCCCTGGGATAACCTGCTCCATTGGAAAGGGTGTCAGGGGGCAACTCTGGGCCAAATGGCTTTGACCCAGAGAATGCTGGATAATTTGATATGGGCAGCTCTCCCCATACACTGGGCAAATGGACAATGGCCTTGAATTTGCTCCTGTACTCTGGAGTAGAGGGGAAGAGTCTGGTTCATCCTCAAAGAGTGATCATAGACATACCTCTATTGGTAATGCAGAGGGTGAATAGCTTCCTGCATTCTTGTTGTGGATATGGTCTGAGAGAATTCCAGACACAGGCTTGGAATGCAAGTTCATCACTATGTTGAATATATAATCCTTACCAAGCCCAGCGGCAGGAAGTCTCATGGACACCCCACCCAGAAGCATTGCCATAGAATCAGCTGGAATCAATAGAGAGAATTTCATAAGCCTTCAAGACCAGGGGGTAGAATAACGAAAGACAAATCCTGATGACTTGGAAGTTGACTTCCTTCCTCCTTTTGGTAACTTAATAGAGCACTGGCTCAGAAGGTGTGGGTTATCTCCACTAAAAAACACGTGGTGACCAGTTCCTGAGCTCTTCTGAAGGCTTCCCATTTCTAAGAAGGCGCCACTTGCTCAACTGTCTCAGTTTGTATGAGACTAAGGGGTTCTGCAGGATGCACAACTTTGAGTGCTAATCTCCCAACAGTAGTGCCGGGCAAACCAGGATGGCTGCTCACCCTATCGACCAAGGACCTTCTATCCTCACAGCAGTACAGATGTCTCCTGGCACCATTGTCTGAAAACATATACAACACTTTGAAGGTGAAGATAGGACCCCTCTCTGCTAGAACTCTAGCTGTGGAACCCAGTCTGAGCACATCTCCCTGTGGGGTAAGAAGAGTGTGGGGTCTGGCTCTTCGATACCTCTGCTTGTAAATTTACTCCCTAATAATATCTTGTTTCTATTTACATAATATGGATTCACAGATGAATTTCTATGAAATTTGGCATAAGTCAGAAACTCTCCAGATACATCACCAAGACCATGTTCTCTGTCTTAAATTTATTTCTCCATCTTATTCCCGTCTAATGAGCTATGGGCTGGAACTAGAAGGAATCTGACCATCAAACAGCTTTGATGACATCTGCTAGAATTACCACCAACACAGCACAGGTATCACAGCATGACGTGAAGCTAAGGCCTCAAGCACAGGCGGCGCTGCAGTGCTCCCCCCACAGCCCCGCAGATCCCCTCACCATTTACATCCACGTCAGCACCTCTTCCTTCAGAGAGCCCGCGCAGGCCGACAGGAGCCACTCTGACTGCCCATGGCGCAGGCTGGAGCCGCCCAGCACTGAACACACACACACCCTAGAGAGGAGAAGGCAGGCAGCATTTAACCAACAGATATCCCAGCTCCTTCTCCCACTGACTGGGAGAATTCTGAGACGTGTGTTTTGTTACATTTTCCAGAGTTTCTCCATGGAATTAAGCAACAACCGCCACTATGGTAACTGGCTTAACCACTCACCCTTCGTGGCTGCCTTCTTTCCCCCAACTCCTCCCGTCTCACCGTCCACGGGACCGGCACCTTCCAATGAACTAATTGCACACACATCCTTGGTTCAGGGGCTGATTCTGGGGAACGCAAACCAAACTACCAATGCCACCCACCTAGAAATAGGCGTCATCGGAGATGGGCCTGTGTCAACATGAATGTCGACATGAGATAACGTGGCCGAATAACACGAGCTGACCTCCTTCCCTGTAAAAGAAAGCACAGGCTTCCCCACTCCAGCTCAGAGACGGCTCGGCCCTCTTTCCCCTCCCAGGTAAGGAGAGGAGAGCACGGCGTAGCCCATCCCCCAATGACAGAGACTTTTTACTGACTCTCCTCCCAGCTGCCTTTAACTCACGTTCAAGTTCTCAGCGTACCATGTAACACATCCCCCAGAAAGCTCTCTCTGACCCCTTCCTTTCTCTCCCTCTTACTCGCACAGCATCCTCTGCCTCCCTTGGCCCGGCACCAGCTGTTGTCGCTTGCTCTACTGTCCCCTCAGCTGTAAGTTCGGTGGAGGCAGGGCCTGTGTTTCTTATTTGTATTTGCCTACATCCTCAGAATACAACACAGCATCTGGCCCAGAGCAAGTGCTCAAAGAATCACTGTTGTGTCAGTGAATGAACAAACCCAGTTTTCCAAATACCCATCCTAATCCTGGTCATGGTTTGTGATCTTGGGCCACATTCTCCTCCAGTGACCAGAGTTACTGACCTAAACTCGTGGGATATTTGGGTTAAAAGAACCACAGAGATCCCTTAGGAGGTCATTTTCACAGGGAGGAAAACTCAGACCCAGCACACTACAAGGTCAGGATTTAGAAAAACTGGCTTCTGCCACATTTAGATGAGAGACCTTGAACAAATCTCAACTTTTCTCATTCAACAAACCCCCTGCATCTGTTTCCCCATCTATGAAGCTGAAATAGTTGAATTTGCCTTACCTACTTTGAAGAACAGTGTTCCTTCTTTCAATATTTACTGGGCGCTGACTGGGAACCAGGCCCTCTGCCAGGGGATGAAAATAGAACACTCAGCACTCAGACTGTGTCCTCAAGAAGCTGATATCGGTGATGATCCAGTGAGAGGAAGGCTGCCTCCTACAAAGGGGGAAACTGATATTCAGAAAGGTATGTCACCTGCCCACGCTCACAAAGCTAGTTGACGGGATAACCACATTTCAAACACAACTCAGTTCTAAACAAAACGCTACCTTTCCACAGCGTAGGGTTTCAGTTTCCCTTCTTCCACCACCCATGCTCCTGCTCTTGGTTTGGAATTTAGTGTAGCTTTATATTTCAGTGTACATTCTAATATTAGCAACAGCCTGGGTGGGTATGGCCAAAATTAGCTGCATAGTAAAGAAAAATAAAACAATAGGCATTCAACAAGTGCTGGCCACACTGAATCAAACTGAATTTCATGAGACTTGAAAAGTCCAGAGATCTTTGAACGCTCCAGCTGCATCTAGTCAGTTCAATTCCATTCCATCCCATTCCATTCAATGAGCCTTTCTTGACTGCCTAGGATGGCAGGACACGGCAGCAGGATGGATGATACAAGGAGGAACTTAGAAGACTAGAGAATATTTAGTAGGACTAATCTTAAGTGAAAACAGCTGTTACCGTGCCTGCTGCTTAGATCCTGCCTGGTCAGCGTTTGTCGAGTGAATGAATGAATGGATGGGCTCTCACATTCCAATTATATTTGCCTTTTTAAAAGAATAGGTGTTCTGAGTCACAGATCTTTGAACTGGAGCTGTGCCACTTACTATTGGCTGTAACCTGGAGCAAATGTGTAGCCACTCTGAG